TCTGTGTCCCCATACATCCCCCCTCCACATCCCCATCTGCCATAGGGGCAGCATCAGAGTGTCCCCACTGTCTCCATATGTCACCCCTCCGTGTCCCCATGTGCCACAGGGGTGGCATCAGGGTGTTCCCCTCCCTGTGTCCCCATACATCACCTCCCTGTGTCCCTCCCCTCGTGCCATAAGGGCAGCATCAGGGTGTCCCCACTACATCCCCATATGCCACCTCCCTGTGTCCCCAAATATCACCCCTCTGTGTCCCCATGTGCCATAGGGGCAGCATCAAGGTGCCCCCCCCTCCCCCATATCCCCATACATCACCTCCCTGTGCCCCTATATGTCACCCTTCCATGTCCCCACATGTCACCCCCTCTGTGTCCTCATATGCCATAGGGTAGGCATCAGGGTGTCCCCTCTGTGTCCCTATAGGTCACTTCTCTTTGCCCCCCATATGTCACCTCTCTGTGCCCCTATATGTCACCTCCCCATGAGTCATAGGTGCATCATCAGGGTGTCCCCTCTTTGTCCCCATACATCCCCTCTTTATGACCCCATACATCCCCTCTTTGTGTCCCCTAAGGTCACCCCTCCACGTCCCCATACATCACCCCTCTGCATCTCCATACATCCCCTCTCCACGTCCCCATACACATCACCTCTCTGTGCCCCAATCAGCCACACAGGCAGCACCGTGGCACCCTCTCTACGTCCCCTCTATGTCCCCAAGTGCCACCACAGTGCTGTCCTCCCCCCCTGTGCCCCTTACTCACCCTCTCCCATCACCAACCCCAGCAGCACAGAGCGCCGCGTGCGCTCAGCCTGGAACAGAGCAGGGAAACAGGAACGGATGCTGAGCTGTCTACAATCCCCAGCAAACACCCCCCTGCACAGACTGTCCACAGCCACGTCGGCCACCTGTTGGTGACAATGACACGAGGAAGGGTAAAAGTGGCCCCCACCCAACCCATGTACACCCTGATAAGGGTTATCTCCCACCTCACAGATGCCCACCTCTGCCCCAAAACGGCGCCGGGCGAAGCTGTGAATGCTTTCATCGGGTTCCGTTCCCTTTGGTGCCATCAGATCCTGCACTGCACTCCATATGAGGGCCCTTGAGAAAGGGGGCACGGCCCGGAGGAGACCCCTGGGGGGAAACAGAGGGGAATGGGGGGGTCCTTATGTCAGTCCTTTGGGGGGTTGGGGGGTCTTTGGGGTCCTATGTGGGTCCTTGGGGGATTATGAGCTCTTTGGGGTTTTTATGTGTGTCCTTCCAAGGAGTTATGGGGTCTTTATGGCCCTACATGTGTCCTTGGGGCATCTCTGAGGTCCCTATGTGGGTCCCTGGGGGGTTATGAGTTCTATGGGGCCTTTATTTGGGTCCTTCCAAGGAGTTATGGGGTCTTCCAAGACCCTACATGGGTCCTTGGGGGATTTCTGAGGTCCCTATGTGGATCCTTAGGGGATCTCTGAGGTCCCTATGTGGGTCCTTGAGGGGTTATGAGCTCTTTGGGACCTTTATGTGAGCCCTTCCAAGGGGTTATGGGGTCTTTAGAGCCCTACATGGGTCTTTGGGGGATCTTTGAGGTCCCTATGTGGGTCCTTGGGGGATTATGAGTTCTTTGGGGTCTTTATGTGAGCCCTTCCAAGGGGTTATGGGGTCTT